GTGAGTTGGGGATTTGAGCTCTAGATTCAGCCGTACAGGTCACGTTAAGTGACTTCGGCTGACATGTTACTTGCATTGATTGACATTACCAGGGTTACTTACAGTTTATGTGGAGGCATTTGTCATGGCATATTTCTGAACATGTTTTCGATATATGTGTTTATTTTGTTATGTGGGAAACTATACAGGTTTTACGGCGAGGGGTTAGAACTGTTGATAATGAAATAATTTTGAAAAGCTTTGTTTTTGCCTCCTCACACTTTCTGTTTTGCGCCCCTCCAAGTTCTAGTTAGAAGTAGCTTTGGTGGTTCACGAGGACTTGACGGTGGTTTTGACAGAACATCACAAATGTAGGATCACCTTTGGGTGTTGTGTAATTAGTATTCGTTCTTCTGGATTGCACTTAGGCTTTCTGTGCTCTGATTATGCTTATCCGACTTAGTCTCACACTAGTGTGTTACTTTAACTAGTTTATTTAGTAGTTTGGTTTTTATTTATTCATACTTTTATTATTATCTTTTGTTTCCGTACTGTGCACATGGCTACGTCACACTCACGTGACGGCCAGCATGCCTTGATTCCGGTCGGAGTGTATCAGGTTGATTGTAATACTATGTATTTTAAAAACAAATTACACACACACACACACACACACACACACACACACACACACACGTGTATGTGGTAATTATTTTTATTTCAAGTATAAATTCTTTTCTTTGGGTTTCTTTATTACACTACGTTTATATAAGAACTCATACTTTTGATATGTAAACTAGTCTTAATGTAAGATCTTTTTCTACAAAATTATTACAAAACTAGCTAGTATTATTTCATATTTAATTAGAGATGTTTTTAGTTTGAATTGGACAACTAAGACATAGACCCAAAATATTCCACAACCTTAGTTTCACGTAGGCCTAATAAACTTTTATAGCCATCTACACCACGATCCACTTGACAAGCCCCTACATGTGGCTTAGGCTCATTTTAGCATAAAACGTGGTTGGCACGATTTGTCTATGATGTGAACGTCATAACAGGACTTTGGCATGATAAATTTGCATGAATTTGTATAGGCTTGGCATGATTATACAAATGTTCAAGTTATAAATTGATATTTTATTAGCGTGATGCGATCGTAAATTTAGTTACGTACCTTTAATTCAGTATCTTCGCATGAATTTAGGCTCAGCTCGTGGCACTTTCTCGGTACTCAAGCTTCAAAGTATAATTGTGCTTGCATGTGAGATTTTCGGCCCCAAAAATAATTTCTTTACTTCTAAGATATGATTTTAAAGGTTCCCATGCGTGCTTTTTCAAGGCCCATCTAGCACACGTATTTTATACACTGAGTCCATTATGCATCTAATATTCATTAGGTCTGCCCCACTGTACATCTGTTTTGATTAACCAAATTTTGATTTTTTTTTTTTGTTTTTTTTTTTTTTACTTTTTCTTCTTCTTTGAATGTGATACTCTTTATGAAATAAACAATTTTTTTTTTGTTTTTTTTTTGTCTATGAAATAAACGATTTAAATTTGGATTTCTTGTCTAATCACTCACACGAATGTTACGACGGACAATTATTAATTTCCCCAAACCCAAAGGGGAAAAGAGTCGAAGAGAATCGTGAGTTTCCTATTCCTAGTCAATGTAGTCATACCAAAACAAGGAAAGTAAACTCCTCGTGTAAATCCAAAGACGAATAGAGAGAAGGGATAAATAAAAAGATGATAAACATAAAATCTTTTAACAAATTATATACACTTATTTAATTTGTAACGTTATTTTTATTTATTTAATCTAAAGACTAAAATTAAAGAGAAACACACTCTTTCAACTTATCACAATCACATACTCCTATTTAATTTAATTTTTTTTGTTTACTTAATTGTTCAACTTGAAAACTAAAAATAAAAGCATGCAGGTTACCCTATATTTGGTGAACGACGCAGGGAGAAACAGGACCGAACCGAACGGCTAACAAACTCATCCGGAGGCTCTGCAAACTGAAAAAGAGTTTAGAGCTATATCTAGAGACTAGATCGATCGACGATCTACTTCCCTTTACAGCTTCTCACAAAACATTACAAATACGTTACTCGTGAAAGAAATACAGTGACGACGTTTCTGTTCTTTTAATTGCTTAGTTTCAGAATTCATTCATTCTAGGGTAGGGTAGGGTTGGGTTTTGCTGTCAAAGCTGGTGGCGGTGGCGGCGGGGTAGTCGTCGTCGTCAATGGTTTCCTCTCCGGCTCCGGCAGAGGCTGCCGTTGACCTGAATCTGAGTGTTAATCTTAACGATTCAGATTCAAATACAGTTTCAGATTCAGGAGTTATGAGGAGGAGCAATTTATTATCATTATTATTATGTTGGTGCGAGGATTCGTTGTTTAATGTTCTGTGTAGATTATCACAAAGGGATTTGGTAAAGTGCAAGATGGTGTCCAAGTCCTGGCAATGGCACCGAATAATCTCCCGTGTGTGGCTGCGGATGTTTTGGCCGCGGTCTCCTACCGTGGGTCTTTTCTACCGTACGATCCACCCTTGCGACGGTATGTATCAGTTACTCTCCTTGGTCTATTTATATGCTTATCCCTTCTTCAAGTCCCCCGAACCGTCGCCACCGCTTCTGGATTGGGGCGGTGAACTGTGTCGGTGGCAGAGACGTGACTTCTCTGACAATCTCAGGGACTCTTGTAATGGGTTACTTCTGTTGTTCAACCCAACAACTTACCAGTTTTGTGTGAGCAACCCCATCACTAAGCAACACGCCTCCATCCCTCTTCCTGTAGTCGAAGCCGAGGAGGCCGATTTCTGTGCTGCCTTGGCTTATGACCCTGTCGAGTCAGATCACTACAGAGTTGTTCGAATTAGTTATTTCCATTCCCAGCAACAACCAACCTCCATAACCACAACCACCCCAATGGACATTTTCTCGTCGCATTCTAGACAGTGGGTTCGACATGGGTTGCGACTTGACCCCACTTTTGTTGAGGGCTTCAAAAGGTTCAAACTTTGCAGGAAATTTTTCTACTTGCGTGGGGTGTTATACAGCTTAGCTACCTCAGGGAAAATTTTGTGTATTGATCTCAATACTGTTGAAGCTCGTGCCCTTCAACTCCCTCCTCATCCTGTCCTTGAGGAGGAGGACCATGACGATGATGACAAAACAATGGTGGGATGTCTTGTTGGGGTGTCAATGGACCTTGTCTGTTATGTAAACCGTGATGCTTCAGATAATTTTTATTTTTGGTCTTATGATGATCGACCAGGATGTGAATCTGGTGATAGATGGACTCTCAGATATAGTGTGTGTGGCATGACGTTAAGCATGAAAGTGCGTTCCCCTTCGGATGTCAAGTACAATGAACACCTTGATACTCTGGTACCGTTTGCAATAAGTCCAAATTCTCATGTGCTGTTCTTTGGCACTCGAAAGCTGATCTTTCGCTATGACTTAGAAAGTAGAAGAAAGCTGAAACTCCTTCTTGAGACAGGGTTGAACATAGCTGTACCGGGTTATCACTTTCCTTGCTTCACGCTCCGTGCTTGCTTGATGCCTTTCTATGGTCTGGATCATGCTCAGAAGAGTGTTGGCTCTCCATTTCCAGCAGCACAAGAAGTTTCCAAGGGAGCAAAGATTTTGAGTGCGGAAAGAGCATGCCAGTGTGATACAGAAAAAGACTCCTGGATTGGGCATGTGGACTCTTACTTTGTACATAAAGACAGAAGACCCTTTTTTTATCCTAGCGAGATGCAGTTATGTGCAGGGATGGAGGAGATGGAATTACCCAAGCCACAACAACAGGTTCGTAGCTTCCTTCTCTAGACTCAATTATCACCGCCAGTGCAAAGACCTGAGTCCGTATCAACCTAGACAGCGTTTGCTGCCACGAGTTATGCATAGATGACTGATATGATAATCTCTTTATTTTTTTTATCGACTATATAGCTTATAATAATTTGGATCTATTATTTCCACATCTTGAGGACAATGTGTGATTTAAGTTTGGGGGTGAGAAATAAGGATGGCTATGGAAGTTTATGCGGAACTCTCAAAGCCGTTAGATTGTGTGAATGACTAACATTTGTTTGAAATTAAGTGGAAACTAAAATAAAATATTCTCTCTCAAAGGTGGTGATCGGATCTTAGGCCCACCCAGCACACATGTTCTATACACTGAAAATTTGAGTTCGTTACCATAGGATAGCTTTGTAATTTGAGTTCGTTACATAAGCAAATTTGGATGATCGAGTCTTGTACCTATGCCAAGTAACAAGAGAACTAGTTACGTTTCCTAAAATTAAATATCATAAATAACCGGAATAGGTACCATGTTCTACGATTCGTGTGTTTGTCGATTTCCGTTGTATTATACTTTCTCAGAGTGCAACTTAGTAGATACCATGCTATATAGTTCGAGAATGAAAAGAGCTAGTGTAGACACCAATGCCTACTTTGTTGTTTAGGGAAATCAATCATGCCTTTAGGTTGATAAACGTTAAGCATCTAAATTTGTTTTGTGTCATTGTATGTGTCGATTGCTTAGGTGAAAAAGATAAGTGATTGAAACCTAAAACCCTTCAGACTTTATTTTCAAAACCCTTGTTGCCAACTTTTCTTTGCCTAGTTCTGTAAAAATTGTGTTTTTATACTTTTAGATTCAAGTCATCTCAAACGAGTTTGTTAAATCATTTTTGTGCATATTTGATAGCTTTTGTGAAAGAATTAATTTAAATTGTTGGGTAGATAACATATTAGTGCAAACATATTAGTGCAATCCTCGTTGGAATGACCTCATACTTGGTTTCTATACTATGTGTTTGATCATGTGTACTTGCGAGTTTAAAACATGTAATTAATAGCTTAATTTTAGATTGCTAATTTCATACGACGAGTATCCCAAACGATAGAATACTAAAAACACATTTAATCATGGACGTCAAAACACTCTACAAGATTATATATATGTGTACTGCCCTTCACCATACATGCAACCAATCAATTTCATTCTATATATTGTGATCAATTTCAACCAACCAATCAAGTATATAACCAAAACATGAAACATTTGAATAACAAGAAACTCCTTGATATCACGACATTGAATATCTACTTCAGCATGCTGTGGACGAGTGAGTGAATGTGTGGAGTAGCACTATACAACTACAAAACAGTTATGTCCATGTGCGTCCTAAACAGTGATATGACCCAAAACCTCTACCGCCGAAGGCCTCTTTGCAGGGTCCTTGGTTGTGCAATCAGCTCCACGAGAATCATACCGAGACTGAAAATGTCCCTCTTGAAATCCACTTTATCTTCGGGGGCATCATACGTCCGACCTTTCAATGCTTCTTCTATCTCCTCATCCCCGAAACAATTACCCACCAGCTTTCGTGCTGCATAAACACGTGCGTTACATTATTTTCCAAAAGTTTACACAATCTTTTACTTTTACTAATAAACAAATTCGAAACACTTACCAATCCCAAAATCTCCTATCTTCCAATTGTTGTCCTTTACCAGTATATTTAACGGATTCAGATCTCCATGCACTATATTGTTTCCATGGATGTACAGCAACCCTCTTGTTATGTCTGTGAAAACAGTCGATGCCTCATCCCATGTCATGTTAACCCCCCTCTTCAATAGCTCTTCACTCAAAGTTCTGCAAAAGAGGATTAACCAAACAAAGTTAACATAAGAAAAAAAATACAGAACACATATGTTTAGGTAGTCTCAATCTGGTACCTTTCACAACATTCTTGTACAATGTACAAGCATGGAAGTTGCTGCTTCTCTTTGTCTTTGTTCGTATTCCCAGGTCCTTCTTCAAGGGAACTGTTACTTCCATCATCATCCATATTTCGGCCTTCTTCCAGCTCAAGTTGACTTTTCTCACCAGCAAAAGTCAGATCAGTCCAAGAGGTGTAGTATTGCACCACATTTTGGTGTTTTAATCCCGATACAATGTCAACCTCGCTGCATACGTACATAGAATGCCTTTTTAGTTAAACGAGAAGAATACAATAGCCTAAAAATACAAATATAATTTCACGGTAAATTCCAAATTCTTATTTTCTTACCGTTGGATGGTCTCAAAGTCCAAAGAATGAACCCCTAGAGTAATTTTCTTTGCCGCATAGACTTTGTTGTCTAATAAGTTCCTGCAGCGCGCTACAACCCCATAGGACCCTTCGCCAAGAATCTGCAACTCTTCATAATCTGAGAGATACCTTGAGAACTTTTTAGCATTTTCTTCAATCTTAGGCTCCCAAATGACGATATTTGTGATGGGGCATGTTATGGGCTGAATATGCACCTCCATATTGAACCAAAACCTGCAAGAGTAAAAAAAAAATCTTATGTATGATCTGATATGCCCGTAAAAAGCTTCTAATAGGCTTTCATTTTATATGGATCTCCTAGGTTCTCCAGCCTTCCAATAGGCTTCCATTTTATAAACATATGCATGAACCATGAAAATGGACAAGTCTGAGCCGAGTACTTTCTACTCCCTCGACATCCCGCTCCTTTCGAGCATGCTCTCAAGATAAATACAGTCACATTATCAACTCCTTGCCCTTCTAATCATTAACTACCATAAGAGGAATTTTATAATTAATCCCCAAAATGTATGCGGTTTTAGGAAAGTGCAGGAGCAAATTCTTAGTCTACAAATACAGTATACACATATATTCCATAAATGAGTGGTCCTCAAACCCCATTCTTGGTCGTTTTCTAAGTTTTCTTTAATCTTACTTATACAAGATTTTATGTTATCAACTGGGAGGCTATAGTGCAGGCATAAATTTTCAACCCTAAATTAAAGAAGAATTGCCCCAAATAAAAATTGCAACGCTGCAATCGAAAAAAAAAAAAAAACGCAACAATTTCCTCCGGTTCAAGAAATGCTTCATCATATCAAACACAAGGGAAGTACATTATACTACCTACTCAGATTCTCCTAATCAATCAAGCAATTCGATTCTTGAAAATATTCTCATCAAGAAAATTCAATTCCAAGAAAAAATCAAACTATAAACAAACTGTATCAGGAATTAATGAATCTGAGATAAGGACTAAGAAGCTTACAGATGTTGATCGTTTTCGGTTCGGGACGAAATTCTAGAGGTGCGACTACGAATCCTCACTTCCGACTCCTGAGCTCTCTCTCTCTCTCTCTCTCTCTCTCTCTCTCTCTCTCAGCAGCGTTGCTCCTTGCTTCGTAAAGTAGAAAGTGGGAAATGGAGGGAAAGACCAACAGAACAGAGTACAAGAGGAGGGCGATACGACGTCGTCCTTTCTGTTAAGAACGAACCGGCTGAAGTCTCTGGGCTCTCGCCCACAACGGAAACTCATAACTTCTGGCCCAAAGCTAACATTCAACTTTGAAAACTATTTCATCAAGTATTATGAACTCGTAATCACTTTAACATTCATCTCGTACCATCAAATTCACAAAAATACTAAAGAATTTTTTTTTTGATATTTTGTATGTTACATGTTAAATAATAAACCTAATCAAAATGATAAACCCAAATTCTCAATACAAGTACAGTTTTTAAGTGTAAATAGGCATTTTATTTATATGTGACATATAATAATTTACTTAAATCCGCCGAATACATGGCTATGCCCCTGCCTAGGCCTTGTCAAGGCGCTTAGGCACTAAGCCCCACCCCGCCGCCCGACTTAGACCTAGCGTAGCTTGATTAGGACCACCCGATGTTCGAATCTTGAATCCGCCATTGGTTATAGGGTCAATTATACAACGAACTTCAACAATCCGTACGTCTATTTTGTAAGTCTTCATTTATAGATCATCCTTGAAAAAAAATCAATTCAATCCGAAACCATTTACTAATTTTATTGTCATAATAAAATTTAAATGTTTCTTGGAACATAGTGTTCGTCAATTTCTTTGAACTCAATTAGATGTCTCGAACATCTTCGATTTGGCTAATATTTTTCAAGGACAATCTATAAAATGCAACTTGAAAAATAAACGGTTTCGATCGGTGATGTTCGATGTGAAGTGAGCCCCACTACTAATCCCTATTTTGATCAAACTAGCATGTCTCTTGACATGTGATGCAAATTCACACATCGTTTTGGCAAAAATCCTGCAGAAATTATTTTTCTCAAGAGGTGTAAACACAATAATGAATGATAACAACAATCAACCAAATTCAAGCAGCTGCATGCATATCTCCAGTACACACCACACACACACACACACAAAACACTTTGCCAGAGGGAAAATCTTTGTTGGATAAAAGGAGCACTTATTGCTGGAAACTTTACCCAACAGAGGTTCGTCAGAAAAGAATAGTCGGGCAAAACTCGTCACGCGTACTAGCCAGCTTTAATTTATTCTTGTAGTGAAAAATTCCTACTAACTTACATGAGAAAAATACGAGGTTTTTTTTGTACTCATAACGTATATAAAGAAATCCAATAAAGTCATTACATTTGAAATAAAAATAATTACTTAGACACACACACACACACATTTATATATATATAATTTTTTTTTTTTAATACGGGGTATTACAATGTACCCTCTTTCAAATAAATTTCGTCCTCAAATTTGTAACACCTTAATTGTTGCATTGGTAAGGTAAACAAATCTAAAAGACGTCAAAAAATATATCACAAATATTATAGTAATAGTTGAAAAGCATTAGTAAAGTATTTGGTTAGAGTGGTTGCACGGAGACTACCTTTCCATGTCAAGAAGATTGCAATTCTACCCCTATAGTGCCTTCCAACTCTAGCATAACACCACTAAGTGAACATGATAGGAAAACAAAATTAGTCTTTAACTGAAAATCACATAACAATGAAATCATTATACAAACATTGATGGTTATACAAATCGAAAATGTAACTCACCAATCACCTTACTAATTAGATTCTTATATTCTCATCACACTTAATTTATAATTTTATGTGGAGGAGTTTTTAGGGATTACCATGTTTAGTTTCTTGGTGGTTTTTGCCAATGGATTGGTCATTGCAACTCATTTTTTGCAAAATTATTAGCAACTATTATTGTGTCGAGTTTGCATATCAGGTGGGATAGCATTGCCTTTGGTTGGAAGGTGACTCTTCTGCTATCCAATCAACCGATTTTGATCCTCTTTGACCTCTTCGTACACAATGATCTATTTGTCTGGACCGCATTCGGAATATGACCTTCTACACCTCTCACATATATCGTGAATGAAATGTTGTTGTGGATAAATTTGCTAACACGGACTTGTGTTCTCCAACTTTGGTGTGGCATGACTCCCCTATGCCGTTGGCTCGTGATGCTTTGTTTTCAGATTATGTAGGCGTGCCTGGCTTCCACTTCTCAACCTAATGTGCATCTCACCATGCAGGTATGTCTTCATTTCTTGTTTTTTCCTAACCTTGTGGTGGTGTTGTTTGACCTGTTTTGCAGGTTTTAGACCCTTTAGGTTTGGCTTTAGAGGGGTTAGGTTTCATGTCCCCCCCTCTTTTCCTTGTATCGTTTTTGTTTTTGTTTCTAGAGGGTAAGGTTTATGTCCCCCCTTCTTATTCATGTTCTTTTTCTCTTTTCTTGGTATTATGAGGGGTAAGGTTTATGTCAACCCCTGACTAGGTATAAATTTTTTTCGTTATCAATAAAATATCCCTCGTATAGTAGAGTTTTGATTTATTAAAAAAAAAAAACAAAAGAAAAAAATAGAAAAAAAAAAGGAAAAAAAAAAAAAAACTAGCTCATCACACAACCCGTAGTTGTATAGGAATGAGAAATATTACCAACGTTACCAACTCGTGTAGGAATGAGAATTTCACTTCGCAATGGCCTTTTCTTTTCTTTTTCCTTTGTCAGTTGGAATTAAGAATTACATCTTAATTTGTTTCACAATTAGGACTCCTAAATAGATGTAAGCCCAATAAAAGTCTCACATTCTTCCACTTGGACGTGACATCTATTCAAGAAGCTCTCTGGATCAAGAATAAATTTCTTGATACGCACAACTTTGGAAGATTATTTGATAGCAATATCTATTCAAACTTAGTGTCAAATATCATTAGCTCGTAGGACTATAGACTACGATATCCAATACGGCGGATGTGTACCTCTATAATCACATACAAGCAACAACATTCACATAAAGTACCAACAAGTCGTGGACAAACATATATATATATATATATGATACGTTGTCCTCTTTGAACATAAAGTATCACACTTAACACATACATGGTCTTCTTTACGATCACAACGTGATCTTCCTTAATGCTTAAAATAAGCCCCTATGTCGAAAAGACAATCTTCAAAATTGGCTAGCTGTAATGACTAGTATTTAGAAATAAAACACATCAATCCTTAATGCATATCCATGAAGTTTTAATTGAAAAGCAAAATAGCTCCCACTAATTTTAGGCATCTTTAAAGCTTGATAATTCTCCCATTCTAGTGACATGCTTTAAAGAAACTAAGTAAGGAATAACTCTATTAATATATATGTAGTCATATCTGTAGTGTAAATATAATCAACACTTGTATATCATTTCCTCACTCTTCCTCTTTCTAGCAAATATTGAGGGCATCAGGTATGGAGAAAACTTTAACCACCCTGCATGCGTTAGAGCCCCACAACATCCACGAATTAAGTATATATACATAGTAAAGAAAAATAACTGTTGATTGCATAACATTTGTCTATAATTTTGCACCTCCATTTCTAATACAAACACAAAACTAGAAATTGACTTTAGAAATATATAATCTACCAAAATTGGAATCTGAATAAACCATTTATTTCCAACTTTTCTTTCCTCTTGAAAACTAGTATGTGTTTTTAGATTGACCCTTGAGATAGCACAACATTTTCTTTTGCATATGGCCTATGCTTAATCTCTACTCTTTCAAATCTCTTGAATACCTCAAGGCTCTAAAATTTCTTTTGTCCAACTTCTAATAGCACGACTACTTTAGTCATAATTTGCTAACAGTAATGAGCTTTCTCACCTTTTCTCTTACTATAATCCCTTAAGCATTACTAAGCCCTACTTCTTTAAAACCTCCAAATTTCTTGGTTTACAATCCCAGTTTGCTCTAAAAGAGAATCAACTGTCAAGACAATCAACCAAAACAATTCATACATTAAGCAAGAACCGAAAAGTACATATATTCTTTCCCTGTAAAGAGAATTTTGTCATCGAAACTCAACCTCCTTAATATACATATACATATCTCAAGGTTTTTGGCTCCTTCAATCCTTCTTACACTTAAATACTCACTTACGTCCTATTGACCCAATACCTTGTTTTGGTTCCATTAAGTCCCACGCTTTATTGTTTTTCATGAACTCTAATTTAGTTTATATAGCTTCAACCCTCCTCCAAAATGTGAATTAGAAATAACCTCTTTATTAGTACACAAAATTGAATCATGTAGATGACTTTATTACCTTCAGACCTCTTTGGCTCTTGTTCTGTTGTAGGGCCTTCGATAGAGATTCCATCTTGATCTTCTTCTTATTCGATATCGTCTACAGCATCTTTTGGTCTATTTTCTGTAGGTTTACAACATTGGTGTGTTTAACTCCTCTCCTTCTTCAAAACAAATTCTTTATTCACACACTATTGTCCTCACATTCTATGTAATTAGTTCCTACTTATGGTATGTTTATGATCCGAAAAAACATAAAACCTTAATTGTTTTGCGTAACCAATAAAATAACAATCCACTACCTTCAGGGTTATCTTAGATAATTCAAACTGTAAGTTTTTGCCTAAGTTTTGCAATAATATTCTTCTCCCCTATTGGATTCAACATTTCAATCTTCAAGTCAAGTTGCCTTCTAATTCAACGAATAAGTACTTTCTAATCAAACCGTAAGTCCTTTTCTTAATCAACCTACTCTTGTTCCAAAGTTACATATATGTACTCCCAAATTGCATAGATTCAAACTACAGACAAGTGTCAACCATTTTTTGTTCGCAGATGATAGTTTTATTTTCGCTCAAAGTTAGCTCCAAGAATGTCAAAGGGTCAAGGCGTTGCACAAGATTTATGAATTCGGGCCAAGCAATCAACTATGAAAAGAGTTGCGTAGCGTTCAGTGGAAATCTCATGGAGATTGATGGGAAAGTACTTGCCGATTTTCTAAGCGTGTCTCGAGTTGCATACCATGACTGCTATTTGGGTTTATCGGTTTTCGTGGGGAAAGCAAAGAAGGCTACATTCGCTTACATAAAGGATCGCCTATGGAAAAAATGGAATGGATTGCGGGGCAACTTGTTGAGCAGTGCGGGCAAGGAGTTGTTGTTAAGACAGTGGCACAAGCAATACCACTGTACACTATGCATACTTTTCTTTTGCCTAAAACATTTTGTAATGAGTTGAACCAAACGGTTGTCCAATTTTGGTGGGGCCGAAACCAAGGGAGGCGAAAGATTCATTGGATTAGTTGGCAAAAATTATGTAAAACGGAAAGTGAGGGAGGTTTGGGGTTCAAAGATTTGTATGCTTTTAATTTGGCTTTATTGGCAAAGCAAGGATGGAGACTACTTCAACAGCCGGATTCACTAGTGGCTTAGTTATTCAAAGCCAAGTACTACCTGAAGACGGATGTCATGAGTGCCCCTATGAAAACAAATGGATCTTTTTGCTGGAGGAGCATTGTGGAGGCTCGGAAGGTTATACCCGAAAGGGGGCGATATGGCGTGTGGGGGATGGCAATAGTATAAAGGTGTGGTGCCGTGGGGGGGGGGGGGGGGGGGGGGGGGGGTGGGAATGTGTGGGGGGCAAGGTAGAAACATAGTAAAATAACTGGAAGTAAGGAAGGTACAAAGGCACGAAACACATTCACGCCAATCCCTTACGATCTACAAAACGCTAACTAGGAGGGCAAGGTAGCCCGTCTTTGTTCAGAACCCGCACAGATGAAGATGGGATTCGAGCTTTGTGGTAGTTACCGTACTCAAAACCCGCCAGAGGCCGCATACCGCCCTCGCCAATCCGCTGCGCAGATAAGCCTATCCCTCCTAGCACCATCCCCGATAGGAGTATCCAGAATCGCCGCTCGGTCACCTTTCGAGATACCACCCCTAATGGAGTTGATCTACCAGCAGCGAGAGTTTGGCAAATGACGGTGGAGACCAGTTGATTACAATCAGTATTTGCGCCCAACAGGGGGGTTGGGTGGCCTGGGGTAAGTGGCGGGATCCATCGATCCACCCACAATATCGTTTGGTCCCCACTCATAATCTGCCAATGAGATCCAGCGATAATGATCTCTCTTCCTGCCAAGAGACTAACCCAAGCCCAAGATGCCCGACTCCCACGTTTTGCTTCCAAGAACGAGCAATTAGGAAAATATCTTCCCTTGAGAACTTGAGCCCAGAGTGAGTTGGGCTCATTGCTGTGTCTCCAACATTGCTTGTGAAGGAGAGCCAAGTTAAACTAACCAAGGGACTTGAAACCCATGCCGCCATCACTTTTACCCACTCCCAATGTCTCCCATTTCACCCAACGGATCTTCTGCTCCCCCTCCTTTTGACCCCACCAGAACCGTGCCACCGCAAAGTCAATCTCCTGGCAAAGAGTATCTGGAAATCTAAAAATGTTCATAGGGTATGCAGGGATGGCTTGAACAACCACCTTGATAAACTCTTTTACGGTAAACAACCTGCTTTTTGACGAAAGAGGTATTTCTTGAGACATGGCTCTTTTATGTGATATCTTTTGGGAGAGGAAGTCCACTTAATTTGTAGCATCCCACTTAGTTCTCTTAAACCACTGGATGTGCTCATTTGGCATGCGGAAAAGAATGGTAAGTTCTCCACCAAGAGTGCATATCATTTGGCACGTTCGTGTGGAGAGGAGAGTGCACGGGTTGCGAGCGGATCGTCGATGGAAAATGAGATTAAATTTTTGTGGAAGGCACTGTGGAGAGCGTGTGTGACAGGAAAAATAAAAATCTGTGTATGGAGGAGCTGTATGAATGCAATGCCCACGAAAGACAACCTGATCGGGAGAAAAATCCTTCAAGACGCCTCTTGTAGTTTGTGCAGTGGTAGAGGAGAAACGATTGAGCATGTGTTGCGGGCATTGTACAATGGCGGCAAGCATTTGGTTCTCTAGTCCGTTGGGCTTTCGAGTTCACGAAGCCAGAAATATTGCATGGGTGGATTGGATTGCAAGTTTGGCACGATCTTTGGCATGAGACAATTTCGATCTCATACTAATGACGATATGGCATATCTAGAAGGAAAGGAACGCGTTAGTGTGGCAAGGCTCGACAAGGCACCCACTGGATATCAATTATAATGCTCAAGCTTGGTTGGCAGAATATAAAAAATGGCATGGGCAACAAATCAAAAGCAGCACACAAATGGGGGTTGTAGAAAAATGGAAGAAACGGGAGGTGGGTTGGATCAAATGTAATTTTGATGGGACATGGAAGGATAAGGATAACAAGGGAGGAATTGGAGTAGTATTTAGGAGTGACGAGGGAAGATTTTTGGCTGCATTAGCGATGCATCTAGACGATATAGCTTCACCATGGTTGGCAGAATTGGAGGCAGCACGTGCAGCCATCGCGCTGGTGAAAGATATGCAAAAGGAGCAGCTAGGGGTGATGCTGCTTTGGTCCTTGCTGCTTTAAACTTGCAGGCCGAGGATAATACTTCATTGTGGGGCAATGTATAGTTAATGAGGCAAGATTTTCCTTAAGGTCTATTCCACAGGTCAGAGTAAGACATGCTCCTAGAGAGGCAAACAAGGTTGCTCACAGATTGGCGCAATGGGGTCTTACCTTCGATCACAAATGAATTTGGTTTGAGGAACCTCCAGATGTAATTTTGAACCTCCTGATAAAGGATAGCTAACTATGTAATTTTATTGGTGCGGGACGCTCTTTTTCCCTTTGACTGCGTTACAATCCTTAGTTGCCCATATAACCAATCCCGTTAAACTTGACTCTTGCCTAGATATATCATTTTTAAAAAATGAAATAAACAATCCACATAGTGCATCACAACGAAACTTCACGGGTTAATATGAGACATATTAAAGTTCTTCATACTTAAATTTCAGGTTATTCCAAAAACTGTTACATTGATCCTTCACTTAATATAAACCTTATAATTATAACTGTTAGGAAATATTAGTGACGCCGAACTGAATTTGAAGAACCATAATCAATCCAGAATCTTAATATTTTTTCTGTCTTGAGCCAATGGAAAGTCTGAAATGCAATCTATTTTATCATATAAGATTTTTCAGATAAAAAGAAACAGGTGTTTACCACATTGACTCAATCTTACATACTCGCAACGTCATTATATGTCCGCAAAACCTTAAGTGCGTTTGTTGCACCGGACTGTCTCGGACTGGACTAGCTGCAGGGACTAAGTTGGACTGGCTTAGACTAGACTAAGCTGGACTAACTTAGTGAAGCGTTTGGTGCAGTGTCGGACTAAGAAGCAGGATAATGAAAACAGGATTATTCACCATATTTGTGTTTGCTTAGACTAGGTTACATTATTGTTCTATTTTAATAGCTCCAATACATGTGTCCAACGCCCTAAAAATTGGAGGGTTTGGAATTGGAATTGGGGTTGGCATAGGTGTAGCAGCATTGAAATTGAAATGGGAGTAACAATCTTACAAATTACTACAAATATTTGGGCACATTGCCCTGAGTTTAATCTCTTGAATTGTTATTGTAATCAATCCACAACTTGCCCTTAAAAGTTGATTTAATTTGTCTTCTTATCACACATTAAACGTCATTAGCCATCAAATACTTATATCAACATAACTTGATCCAAGGATTTCTTAGTCCGACAAATACATCATTCACTACATTTTCATCCAGGATATTTTACAAAATGCCAGTTAACTATAGTATAGCATTCCAAAGTAGATCTCCATACTTTACAAAATCCTAGTTAACATTAGCCAAAATACGTCATAGTGCAAAGCTAAGTTAGAAGCCATAACCTAAGATTGTACGATTAATAAAATACATCCATGTCTAAGGGCACCACATAATATACTCATCCGCTTGCTTTGTCGCTTAAAAGCCTTTGGACGAACACTTTCTTGAGTCCCGAATTGATTGCCCTGAACACTCCCACATTTTGTGGTTTTTCCAAAATAAGAGTCAATGCATCAATTTGATCCATAGGAGAAAGACCCATTGCTTCAAGTTCGTTAGCTATGTCAGTATGATTTGCAGTACCTTGAACTAAAGCTTCAGTTACCATTTGCATCCTCTTCCCACTTTCAACATAAAATTCTTTCAGTCCACTAATAATTGCCTCGGTTCCATCACTTGAATTTCCCATAGCTCTTTTCCTCTTTCTTTGGCTATTTTCAGACGGGGTGCTTTGTTGGCTTTGTTGGTTCATTGAAGATACAACATTTTCACCTCCAATATCACTTGCACCAACCTGATCATGACTTTGTTCCTCCATCATTTCAGCAGGGGTTTCGGCTACATTACCCGTAGCCCGATCTTTTCCAAATATATATGCAAATCTATCGTACAGTGGAAAAGGTTTGCTTCTCCATCCATCAGCTTCTTTATTTTTCTAAAATTATATGAACATAGCAAAACTAAAATTTAGCATGCATAACAAATATAGCAGTAAGAATATAATTAATGTATAAATAAAATAGGATATGAACCTGCACATAAGAAAGCCATGCGTCATCACTGTCAACTTCAACGCACTTTTTGACATCATTCCATGCAAATCCACTTGTGTTTATCATGTCAAAGACCAAACTATATGTTTTTTTCCATTTCTTCAACTTTGACTCAATATGTGGAGTTGCCTTTATATTTGAATTAGGACATAAAACATTGACAGCTTTCGCTATTTCAATCAAAGTACCTTGTTTGAAAGCACCTGTGTCACATCGTTGCTTCCGAGCAACAAAATCCTCAAGAACGGATAGTAATACTTCTTCCTCAAATGCTTCCCATTTACGCCTTCTTCCTTTTGGCTCTTGAGAAGCATTCAAATTATTGTGGTTATCCATACCTAAACAAAAAATATTTGAATGTACTAAAATACAATACAAAGAATCAATTTGCATAATATCCAATCAATTTGCATAATATCCAATCAATTTGCATAATATCCAATCATTTTAATAATATCCAACATATGCATGATAAAAAGGAAAACTAAAATAAAATCTTATCATTAACACATATAGCTAGTTCGGTTGCTGGTTCCTAATTGCTCTCCACTCATTATACATTTCCTGAGCCATGGCATTCCTCTTTGCAGTCCACTGGTCAGATGTTTCAACACTACCAACATATTCACCTTCTTCTGTATTTTGTCCATCTTCTATTATTGGCACATTCTCCATTGGATCTACAGACATCTCTTGCCTAATAAGATTGTGTAGTAGGCAACAAGCGGTAATTATTCGACCTTGTGTCCTTATCGGATAGAAAGATGGACTCCTTAGTATCCCCCACCTTCCTTTTAGCAAGCCAAAACAACGTTCAATTACATTCCTTGCCTTAGAATGCTTCATGTTAAAATATTCTTCCTTATTAGAAGGTGTTCGTCCTTCCCATTCAGATAAATGATAAGGTATTCCTCTATAGGGTGCAAGGAATCCTTCACCATTTGTATAACCACCATCTACAAGGTAATAATAACCTAATAAAAAAAAAGACCTTATATTAGTATTTTGTAGTTCACAAACAAAACTAGACCTAACTTACAAAGTTGAGACTAACTAATAATCTTACCCGTTGGTACCTTAAAACCATTAGGCCTAGTAATTGCATCATGTAGCACTCTAGAGTCTGATGCGGAACCCTCCCACCCCGGAAACACATATATGAACTGCATATCTCCTGAACACACACCTAATACATTAGTTGCGACTCGACCCTTTCTAGTTCGGTATCTTGGTTTGTCAATTTCAGGTACATGCACATCAATGTGTGTTCCATCTAATGCTCCCAAGCAATTCTAAAAAAAAAATTAAGCTTTTGTTAATTTATACAAAGGGAATGAAGAGTTAAAGCTTAGGGAAAATGAAAATAATTATCAACATACCTTAAAACATCGCCACCTAGGACCTGTAGAATCAATAGGCACAGGTTGAGGGACTTTTAGTAGGATACCTTGTAATCGCAAAATTCCTTGCAATACACTATTGAAATACCTACTTATAGTCTCTCCCGACCTATAAAATCTACCACCAACACTACGAATCTTAGTATGATGTGCTAGTATTTGTAAAGTCATACACACCTGCTCCTCTACAGAGACCAAACCATCCGTTTTTACCCTCCCATCTTGACGAAGTAAGTCACATAATATGCCAAAAGTCCTTCTATCCATTCTCAATTCGTTGACACATTCAACATCAGTATTCCCGATTATACCATTCAGATAACACAAACTAATCTCTCGTCTAACAAGTGAACGGTTAGTCAAGGTGCGTCGTTCAACATGTCTCTGTTTTGCCTTTAGCATCAGCAACACAAGAATCGTACAAATGCAAATCGTCTCTAAATGAGACTTCTCTAACAATAAGATCAATAAAAGCTTCCTTCGATCCATATCTATCCAAACAAAAAAAAAAAGGAAAAAAATATTAAGGACATTATGCTACTGCATGCTTTCCATCTGGCACAAAGAACAAACCAAATAATATAATCCAACTATGCTATATCAGCTGATAAAACAACATTACCGCAAATATCAAAAGCAAACTGAAACAAGTACAAAATTTCTAGGTATACTTATACCTAGAAAAACAGAAATCATGGAAAAATAGGTAGGGAAATGACAAGTTGCACTTGAACTAATCAATCGTGCAGTGTTTTAGTTTAAAATACAACTCGGGGTGTAGAGAAGAGGGTTTTAAAAAATATGTACGAAAAATCTGAATGAGAGGTTCAAACAAAACATGTCAAACAAATCTGAATGAGAGCTGTCAGATAATATGAAGCAGAAGATTCGAGCAGTTTTAAACTAGGGATGAAGATTCAAACTCAAGACATTTTCCAAATATCAGTAAAGGAAGTTGCATAACTAGACTAAGAGAAACATCTCTTCCAACAATGCATAAATCATAGCCACTGATAGATTCAGAAATGTTCAAAATATCAGATACATTTCCTCATAGGTGAAAACAAATGGACAAAGATACAGCTCCTGACCACAAATTTTAGTTCAACCTGGTTTGGACACCACCTTGCAACGTTACCTGAACATGAGTTTTCAATGACATGCTGTTCTCAAAAGCTTAACTTACTCCGATGTGAAAGAAAGAATGTGTGCAAGTACTGATATTGTACGAATCATGGATGAATATGTAATATAAAATCGATAATAGCTTTTAGATGCTTATAGATGCTTATATCTGGTTATCTTAGTTTCCATTTCCCAGTATTACCTCTACATAGACATCACATAACGTAGAAGCTACATATAAAAGTGCTTTCAGTGTTTTGCTGGACAAAGTGCATTCTAAATCTGCATGCTGTATTGACATTCAAATTCCTTATTCTGTCTCTTTGCAGTATAATTATCCTTAACTCAGTCATCATCCCAACTCTACACTGGATATTACCTGATAGATGCCCAGAATATAGTTCTCAAGAGCTCTGCTCATTTGTTGGTACATTGAAATTTTATTCCGTCTTGCGGCATGGACTCGTACAACTCTTTTATGTAAGTATGCAGCCAATTTAAGATCCTCACTTTGTGCATGGATGGCATTCTATTGAATATTTCTTAGTGGCAAAATGGATGAATATGCATTTTTTGTGTAATGTTTTGCCTCATTAAGTTTTGTAATCTTCGTGATATGGCTAAAGAAAGTGTATGTGTCATGTAATATTGGATGTTTAATTCTCTTGTTTCTGATTATTGTACTGGTATGTAATCTTGGTTTGTTTGTTATCTTACAAAATATTTCTTTATCACTATAGATGCCTGAATTACTGAAGGGATTCAATTCCTTTCTCAATTCACGGAATACATAATTTTCATTTATTTATTTTTGCTTTGCAGGTAACTTGGTTCTACCCACTGTACATATTCAGCATTATCCTGAGCAACCTCTGGTACTACCAAATTATCCCCTTTTGCTTAATTGTTTTCGGCTACGTTATTTACTTGATTCTGTTTTAATTACCATAGGTATGAACTGAGCACAGGTAAGGTATACATCTATTTCTTGCAATGCAGAATGTTTAAAGTTCTGATTGGAGTGACAATAGTTTTTAATATATGATATTTTGTTTAAAGTTCTGCATGTCTTGACATTTCCACTTCCCGATGTCTTTCTTTTTCCAATTTCTACTATGTGATTATCCAAATCTACAATTTTATTTTAACTAAAGGTACAATGACATTGCTAAGTATGGATTTTCTGCAATGGGGAGATCCACGCCAACCACATTGGATCCTGTCAGACAAAATGATGTTGGTTTGGAAAGACCTGCTGGCGTAGAAGGGTAATTAACTTATTCTTAAATAGAGCTTAAGGTTTTTATTATTGTTATTGTTTTATATATTTATTATTTCAGACATTTCTTGTTGAATAGATATTTATGTATCTCATGAGTTGTGTATGCATCTGTTTAATCTGCAGGGTCATGATTGGTATAGGAGAGCAGGTGTATTCAGTACTTCTTTTGACCTGTTTCTTCCTAGAGGTATAGATATCTTTTATTCTTTATTTATTTGGGTGTATGGATTCATAAAGGGAGGAACAGGATTTAGTTTTCATACTTATTAGACTTAGAGAACGATAGAGAGAGAGGAGTTTATATTCAAATTGCAATATGCTCCATGGCTTATGTGCCACTTTTTGGATGACAGAATCGATGGCTTCTGCAGGTATATGTGACTGGATATATACCATATGTGGGGAAGGCAGTAAATTTTCTGCTTCTGTCCTGGATGTATGCCTATTACTGTTTCGAGTACGTGGTGCATATACCTTTTTGGCTTAATCTAATTTCCTAGATAAGTGTGTGCTAATGCTCCTTTTGAACTCTTTTAGGTACAAATGGAATTTTTCTGAAGTTCGTCTTGAAAAAAGGCTGGATTTCTTTGAATCTAATTGGGCATTTTTTGCTGGTTTTGGTAAATATACAACAATTTATCATATTCACTAAACAAATTAATATAGGAGTACTTGTAAGTTGTATACACGAGTTACCTAGCAAAGGCAATTTTATAACAACAAAGTTGATCCTTAAGCCAGTTTGATTTCTTAAGCCAATAACCATTTACCAAAAGTAACATAATTTGCATTCAACAGATGAACATTCATATGGAAATCCAAAATTAAAGCGAACAAATCAAAGCATTATAACTACCAAAACACAAAAGCCAATGTACTTCCGAATCCTAACAACATCAGATTGAACACAAAAGGATGATGAAGTGAAACACTACCCCATTTTCTCAGCTCAATTCTCAACTGCCAAACCCAGTTTCATGTTTCATCTCACTTACATCTGCTTTTGCAGCAGCAAACTCCTAAAATAGGATTTAATCCAAATAAAACCCACATATGATTTCTTAAGCCCCGACAACCATTTACCAAGGTTGCAGATAACCATTTACCAAGCCGATAACCATTTCTTAAGCCAAATAAAACCCACAAAAGCCAATGTACTTCCGAATCCTAACAACATCATAATCAACATACCCAACATGCTAAGCAGGCTACTTCTACCAAGGTTGCAGATTGACAGTGAATTTTAGTGAAGTTCAGATGCTCTAATCAATCTCAATTTGACCTAAAAATCAAAACCCTAATTTGTTCAAGTGCAGAGGTCTAGGATTCAAAATTTCTCAAACCCAAAACAACAAAATCAAATAAAGTTCAGTAATATCACGATCTGCAAAACAAATGACGAAATAAATCGAAGATTCGAAGTTTACCTGACAACTCGGAGCAGATGAGGGCGAGCAGATGCAGATGAGGAAGACGCAGAGATGAGGGTGAGGAAGACGACGATGAGCGAGGGCAAGATGACGATGAGGGAAGACGACGATGAGTGACGGCAAGGAGGACGAGCAGGAAGCCACCCTCGCGATTTTCTCTGGGCTTACGAGTCCGCCCAATTTTGGGGATCCTGCTTAAGACCTCGTAAGGAGGTCTTTAATCCGAGCGAATCCCACCTAATCCCATTAAACCAAATCCTGCAGCAGACCAAACAAGGGACTATAGTCCAGTCCAGTCCAGTCCTCCTTAATCCTATCAAACAAACGGGCCCTAAAAGTACTAGCCAGCTTTAATTTATTCTTGTAGTGAAAAATTCCTACTAACTTACATGAGAAAAATACGAGGTTTTTTTTGTACTCATAACGTATATAAAGAAATCCAATAAAGTCATTACATTTGAAATAAAAATAATTACTTAGACACACACACACACACATTTATATATATATAATTTTTTTTTTTTAATACGGGGTATTACAATGTACCCTCTTTCAAATAAATTTCGTCCTCAAATTTGTAACACCTTAATTGTTGCATTGGTAAGGTAAACAAATCTAAAAGACGTCAAAAAATATATCACAAATATTATAGTAATAGTTGAAAAGCATTAGTAAAGTATTTGGTTAGAGTGGTTGCACGGAGACTACCTTTCCATGTCAAGAAGATTGCAATTCTACCCCTATAGTGCCTTCCAACTCTAGCATAACACCACTAAGTGAACATGATAGGAAAACAAAATTAGTCTTTAACTGAAAATCACATAACAATGAAATCATTATACAAACATTGATGGTTATACAAATCGAAAATGTAACTCACCAATCACCTTACTAATTAGATTCTTATATTCTCATCACACTTAATTTATAATTTTATGTGGAGGAGTTTTTAGGGATTACCATGTTTAGTTTCTTGGTGGTTTTTGCCAATGGATTGGTCATTGCAACTCATTTTTTGCAAAATTATTAGCAACTATTATTGTGTCGAGTTTGCATATC